GCTTTATTTGATTTACTTTACGTAGCAATTAGGGTATGAAATAGTTAACATTAGCTTTCACATTTTTATATGGAGATATCATACTATTCTGAATGTTAACCGTTTTGCTCAGTTTTTATGACATTATTGTATCCCTTAAGAGTTTTATAGTACCTATTATTATTGAAGGGTTTTGTTTCCACACAATGCAACACATGCACCTCTGTCAAATGTATAACTCTTCGATTGTTCTTTGATTGAAAACCTTAACAATAAATTATGTCCCAAAGTAAGTTGCATAAAACTAATGATAGTGACAAGGGAAACAAGAAACTGGAATCACATAACAGTTACAATACCGTTACTATAGTCCCTACTAATGATAATGATAATGATTCTGCAACTGCTTAAGCAACTAAAAAAGAATTAGCTGAATATGACACAGCCGTTATGATTAAAAACTATACCATTCACAAATACTTAATAGTACCCTTCGAAAGCCAGCAATCTCTCCTAGTAAAAACCAGTAAAGTGGAAATGGGAACGCGTGCCAGTGCGCGTCAGTTATATCATTAACATAATAATCGTGCGCAACACGGCTGAGGTGCAAGACAGGTGAGCGAGCGATGTTCGAGAATGCTCTAGATTTTCTTAGACAAAAATATTCAAGAAGGATGACACTTTGAATATAATTTTATTGCTAACGATAGCATGGTAGATGAGTCAGCAAAAATATTTGTGGGAATAGAATGTGTAAGGCTGGTAACACATACGTCACTTTTCTGGTGTCGTGTGCTAGTTTGCTTCGAACCTATAACAACTGCCGTACTGATTGGCTATTGGTCTTCCTCTAACACTAGCTCTCTAGCACCAATAGCATCTTTGATCTTTTTTATGTTATTTAACATAAAACAAGCACCATTCTTCACACCCTGGTACAAAGCAATAAATAAAGTAGATAGTCCTGGTTCTTAATCGTATCATCATACCTAGTGATGAATGAGTACTTCAAAAATCTAGATACTGAATGAGAAAGGTTGACCTACAAACTAAATCTAGATTTACATGAGTTGTAAGATAGTTGAGCACTTTATACAAGTTAAAAGACAGATTATATCAAACAGGTTTTAAGTAGGACTGATGTACTTATTAAATGTAATAAAAATTAAATGCAGTCAAAGTACCTTGACTTAAATGAATTTGTCTCTGATGAGTACTTTCGCCAACAAGGCTTGATTACTTATATTATGAATACAATATGCTATCTATTTTCTACAGCAGAAGAAATGAAATCATGTATCATTAAACAAGGTTTCTACCAAGGAGACCTTCCAAGCATGGAGGTTACGGCAAACTCTAAGCAGAAATAGTCCTGTAGATCTTTTTATGGAATAGGAGGCAAACAAGCCAGCAGATCACCTGATGGTAAGCGATCAGCGCCGCCCATGGACACCAGCAACACCACAGGACTTACAGGTGCGGTGCCTTTGATAAAGGAATTCGCTGTCTTCTTGAAGGTTTGAAGGTCATATTGTTAAGCAATGAACAGTCATGGGCTGTTAAGAATAAATGTAGCCATAGAATCTAATAAACTGATGCCAAAACTGACGCATTCTGATGACTAGTGGCAAGACAAGAAATACAATCTATTTATAGTCTTCTTTGCTTGTAATCGTAATGTATTTCGCACAATTTCTCGTCCGCCATTCCCTTGTAACTTATATCCTTAATGTCAACGTACTACAAGTTGCAATTAAGTAGTTGAATGTTACGGTCAAGTACGATAAATATGGCAAGCGGTGGTTGGAAGTGGGAGGCTGCGGAAGCAAAATGTAAATGGAAAATTGCGTCTACAATTTATACTAAATGAATCGTGGGTTACTCACATGATAATACTGAGAAAAATTCTACTGGTTTCGAAGTATAGAAGGGTTTTCATGAGTAGCGTGTGCAGTCACTGTGATGTCGCGCAGTCTACTACAACTAGTAGAGCTTTCTCAGTAATTTCACGTGAGTAACCCGTGTCTTTTAATTAACTTTAAGTATTGTGTAGTCGATAAGAAATAATATTGTAATACTCTTCTTGGGGTTTACGATACCTGCAGTACAGATACCAAAAGTGTGATCTCTTACTTATGATTCGTAAGGTCTTTTTTTGTTAACCTCTCGAGCGTCCTTATGAGCACCCGGTGGATCATAAGAAAAAATGCTCCAAATGTCACGTGTGCACCCGTTGGATCATAAGGAACGCGGACGCCCGACGGGTTAAGGGGGAAAATTATGCAATGACTTCTACCGCCTTCGGTTAGGCTAGAGGGAGTGTCAGACTCTTATGTCGGAATACTGAAACGTTACTCAATTTTAAGTCGCGCTTAAGTATAGTTCTATTTCTACAAATTCTTTGTAAAATGACAGAGACGGCACGATATTTAACCACGACTTAAAATTGAGTAACGTCTCACTATTCCGACATTACTGACTAAAAACCACCCGGTTCCTACTCCTGCACTTTGAGCAACCCGTTAGGCCTTCCGCGGCTCTGTAAATCCAACTATATTATACTATATTTTTACATCATCAAAATTTTTTACTATATCTAGTTTATCTAGTTTTCTACTGAACTATACGCCTTACCTACATAAGTAGGATTTACTATTCTCTCGCCGGTTGTTAGTATAAATGTTATTTAATGTAATTTATTAATAAGATACAGGAAAATACGTTCATATGAGTGTTCACAGTAAATGGTATGGTAGAAAGTTGCAAGCAATTTTTGTTTATGCGTCATCGTAAGTGAAATGAGCCGAATTCTGAAAATATGTAGGCAGGTCATAATTGTATTTTACCAGAGACGCGTATAAATCTTCACTTTTATGTTATTGGTTTTGAATCATTATTTAGTTGCTAAAAATTGTTGTGTGGTTTTTTAATTTTTTTATAAAAAAAAACTGTTTATTTCTCGTAAAATACAGTTTTATACAAATCTTAACTTAATCTTAAACTTAAATAGTAAAGATTTTACAGTTAAGGAGTTGCTATTTCATTATAATTCATTAAATGCCGCTTGAATATGTTATAGGTCTGCCTTTTATTTTTGTTTTCCAGTTTACAAACTATGTGTTTTGGCAACTTGTTTAGTATTCGGGCAAGACTGAGATTTCATACTGTCTCACCATAATCGTTATGACATTTTGTTATTTCAAAAATTTCATAACGATTATGGTTATGAAAAATTGGTGTAAAATAATATTGTGACATTCATTAATCAAGTTACATGTCAGATCGAAAACCATTCGAAAAGCCAGGAAATGCAAGTAAACAATAAGTCGCAGTAGTATTTTTATTACACAGTACAACTTTAATAATACATTTGATAAGAAGAAATAAATTCTTAAAAAAAACATTACAATATTTATGCAAAAATTTTAAAAATATAAGTTATTAATTCCATATTCCATATTTAAGGCTTTTTATGCATTCATTAATAATGCTAATGCGACATTAAACTTTAAACGTATGAAGATAAACGGGAACTTCGTATACCACAACTAGGCCAGTGGATCTGGTGGACGAAACTAGTCGGTCATGGTCGTACGGTCATTGACCTTAAAGTGGTATGTAGCATAAACTTGTTTTTTTAAGTGCATGATGTTTTCGAGTAAAAGACTTGGAGATTAGTAATTTTCAGGGTGATTCTTTTTTAGTTTTTTTTAAGGTATGTTGTCATAGAATATTACCTTATTTTTTGCAGATTTTCTACTTAAACCCTAAGGTCGACTGGTAGAGAATGTCATATGGCATTAAGTTTTCTTTTTTTATATAATATAGGTATTGTAGTATTCATGCAGTAGGTATAAGTATTTGTTTAGTAGTATATATTATATGGTATGTATATGTCTATACAGATTTATAAAATATTGTATTAATATATTTATTTGTATTAGTATAAGTATTTATGTGTGTAGTATACATATTACATAACTTTTTTTTATTTTTTCAATTGTGTTCTGGCTTCGCATCAACCACTTCATTTCTCTGCACTTCCCTATGGTTGACTGTAAGAGTTAAGTCCGCCATTCACTGTTGTATTTTGTGAAGAAGAAAATAAATAAATAAGTTCGCCTTATGTGCCATAATAAAATTTTGTACATAAAAGAATAAATAAATAAATATTCCTTACAAGATGGAATCTTGGTGTAACTTGAGCTTCTCTTGAGAAAGCCAACCTAGTAGGACTATTCATTAAAATTATTCGAATAACTAACGTGATTATGGCGTACATTTCAATTAATTTCAATAGCTATCCAGAAATAGCGAGTAAATCATTAAACCAACATTTATTATAGTTTGCAGTAAATTATGGTTAAAGACATGCTTAGATTAACCTGCCTACTTTCAGGCCGTTTAATATTTTATGAATAATCAAAGGAAATTACCGTTTAATTACTGACTTTGAAAGTCAAAACATTTATTTCAATTAAAATTTGGTATTTTTGAAACGTCAACAAATACAAAATAAATAATAGTCTGTCAGTCAGTCCGTCAGTGAAGCTAGGTGAAGCTAGGTGCTCATTCCAAAATGTAGATTCTAATGAAATAGTCCGCCAGTTAGGTAATAAAAAAAATTTAGACACGTATTTTTATTTTATTATAAGTATAATCAAATTATACTTAGATATAACGAATCAAAGTTTAGGAGTGGGGGCTAAAACGTCATTTCTACGTGTAAACTGTACATAGAAGTGACGTCACGCGATATTTCAAATTAATATATATTCGAAACTATTCGTTTCTGTAAAAAATTAAAAATACGTGTCTAATGTTTTTAAATAATCTGCCAGACGGACATTAATCATCTACCCTATGTTTGCTTTAAAATCCTGTTAGTAAAAAAATCAGACCTATTTACCAAATATTGAAACATCCATTTAGGCTTATTTTTGCTTGTTAGTAGGTACACATATTAGTGCCTACGTGCTTAACGTGTGTATGTAATAGACGTCACCATAAAACACATAGAAATGTACCGTAAGGTAACTGATACTGTACATACATAAAAATTCCATAAAATACACGCATGTAGTTATATCGAGTCTATGTACTCCGGAAGACGTAAAGTTAACTATAGTATGGACGTGTAACTGGTTTTTTTTTTTTTTTTTAAATATTGTAGATTATTTCTCCACGGACTCTAGGTCCGTGCCCTTGTCATACAGTTTTTTAATTATAATACATCTAGTCAATTTTTTCGTGTAACTGGTTTCTATAATACATCCTTGATTGCAATTTGATTTGAAGACTCGTTTGTCGAGTGGTCGCAGGCAAAAGGGGGTTCGTGGTTTTAATTCTCGGATTGAGTGATGTTTTTGTGTAATATTTGTGGGATTTTTGGATTCATGCCGGTAGCAAAAAACTCATCTCTCATTCCACAAGTATCACAGTTCTGGTAAAAAGAGGGTGTTCCATTGAATGTATTTTGTAAAATATTATCATTTGAATTCTTTGAATTAGCTTGATGCAATGGTGTTTTAAACCAGTGAAAGTTTATTATGTCACCATAACCTAATCCCCAAAAGGCCAGTAACGCACTTGTAACGCCTCTGATGAGTCGGGTATCCATGGGTAGCGCCGAGTGTTTACCATCAGTTGATTCGTCTGGTCGTTTAGCGTTATTCTTAAAAAATGTGAATTTAAGAACCATTTTAGTTTACAGTTGAAACTCCAAAACACTTTTAAAATAGCTGTTTTAATTACATAAAACCGATGACATGAAATGACAGTTAACAATTTGCTGCGTCATAACTCATACTAAGAAGTTTAGCATACATACATAACATCACGCCTTTTATCTCCGAAGGGGTAGGCAGAGTGCACATTACGGTACTTAATGCCACTGTACAATGTAACACTCACTTTTCACTATTTATGTTATGAGTCCCATGTAATAGGGGGCGAACCTATTGCCATATACCGGGCACAATTGCAGACTCCGTGCTAGTACTGATAATTTAAAAAACCCAGTAATACTTTGCCCGACCCAGGAATCGAACCCGAAGCCCCATACCCGGCATTCACACTTGCTACCACTCAGCCAAGGCATGACAGTCACAGTTCTAGTGAAAAGACAGTGTTATATCGAATGTATGTCCTTAAAATACACAACTTATAAGATTACTTCAATTCAATGGTGGGTTAAACCATTAAATGTTCATTATGTAAATTTAAGAAACATTTGTCTTTACAGTTAAAACTCCAAAACACTTTTAAAATAGCTGTTTTAATTGCATAAAACGATTATATGAAAAAAACAGTAAATAATTTTCTGCGTCATAACCCATCCTAAGAATATTGATCGGTTCTTTATAAAATTTGTTCGACCCGGATATCTAAACCTTTCACCTCTGAATGGTATTTACGAACTGGACTAACACCAGCCGTTATATTAAATTAATATCTATCATTCAGCCATCAACAAGGTTCTAAGCTTGTTTGGGTCAAGACATTAACTAAATGACTAATACGTAGAAAGTAGAATTCGAAGAATTACTATTTTCCTTAAATCTTAGTCATAGGTTAGAAAAACGTATGTAAATATATTAACAGTAGCTACTTCTGCGCGGTTTCACTTACTCTGCTCGGCGCCTATTAATCGTAGCGTGATGTTATATAGCCTATAGCCTTCCCCGATTAATGGACTATTCTACACAGAAAGAATTTTTCAAATCGGACCTATAGTTTCGGAGATCAAACAAACATAAAAACAAACTTTTCAGCTTTATAATATTATTTTAGTATTAGTATTAGTATAATTGGTATATTATTATTAATACATTAGTATTAATATTAGTATATTAGCATTAGTATAGATAACTTCATGTGTTTTACGATAGGGTAAATAGAGGCACGGATCAATAGTTTATTATTTCATAGTAGAATTAAACTATAATAAATTTAAAACTAAATGTGACATCCACTTTTCGTCAGTTTCAAATTCACATGTAACATGAATTGAAGGTCTAACAGATTTTTTTTTAAACGTTGCCCATTCTAAGATTATCTCCTGTACCGTGGGTGCATTTACAAACATACAAGTTCACATACACATGACACTTAGACCCGAAACAACATTTGTGGATCACACAAAGTGTTGTTCCGTGCGGGAATCGAACCCGCGACACGTCGCACGGCAGCCAGTGCCCAGCCACCGCACCAACCGTGCGGTCGAGTCAATTTGAAAACATAACAAACATAAAACATAACATTACGCCTTTTATCCCCGAAGGGGTTGGCAGAGGTGTACATTACGGCACTTAATGCCACTGTACAATGTAACACCCACTTTTCACTATTTATGTTATGAGTCCCATGTAATAGGGGGTGAGCCTATTGCCATATACCGGGCACAATTCCAGACTGCGTGCTACTACTGAGATTTTTTGAAAAAACCCAGTAATATTTTGCCCGACCCGGAAATCGAACCCGAGACCCTTTGCCCGGCAGTCGCATTTGCGACTACGCGGCCAACGAGGCAGTCAATTTGAAAACAATATAATGCTTTCCTGGACCCCAAAAACTTGTAATTCAGAATTAATGGGTGTATGACAACTCAACACACAGGGTAACAGACGAAATAAACACACCCTAACTTCAAAGTAACAAAACATTGAGAGTTTTAGCCTTTGTCTTTGTTAGTATGTAATTGAGCAGGAACCACAGATGTGTAGGTGAAAGAACTCTAACACATATTTTGTGGTTTCAAACCTCATGTTTTGTTTACAATATTCAATTTGTTATGTGTGGTTTTATTTGATTGTTGATTCAGTGCTGACTTTGTAAGGAGTGAAAAACAAATAATATGATGGCAAACACCTTCTTAACCTTTCCTATATGACTTTTCATATAGTAAGTACATATGTTTATAAAACACTTCTAAGTTCTACTCTTCTTCACTACATCTTTATAGAGGTATATATAATTCTTCTGTGAGTGCGTATGTCACTAAACTTCTCTCAAACGACTGGACCGATTTTGATGAAATTTTTTGTGTGTGTTCAAGGGGATCTGGGAATGGTTTAGATTCACAAATCAGCCCGGCAGATGGCGCTGCAGTCGATGTTTAGGTTATTTATCCTAAAAAGCTGAACTAATTTGAATGAATTTTTGTTTATACATTCAAGTGGATAGGCAGGACAACGTCTGTTGGGTCCGCTAGTATTATTATAAAACAAAGTCGCTATCTGCCGTCTGTCTGTCCCTATGTATGCTTAGATCTGCTTAGATCCTCGTCGAGTACCGTCATTATAGACACAATTAAAGCGAAATAGGTTGCGGTCACCGGTGACCGCTTGGTCTTTGACAGTTTAAAACTACGCAATGGATTTTGATGCGGTTGTCTTTAATAGATAGAGTGATTCTCAAGGAAGGTTTATATGTATAATACATGCATATTCCGCCCGCGGGAAGCCGGGGCGGGTCGCTAGTGTCTTAATATAGTAGTGAGCAAATAATTAGTAATTATTTTTTACAATTAATCTTCAAAATTAAATCTTGCCGTAACCAAACACGTCCATCCTTAGTTTATAAATTTTTAAGTGTATTTCTATCACATTACTCCTGATTTTTAATACCTAGCACCTCATAAACAGTTTTTTAACATTACCTACTAAGCCTAAACAAATAGCCTTGACCGATATTACGGTCAAGCTTAACGGTATCCTCTTAATGATGGGTTAACGGATCGTTTTTTTACATCTTTTACTATCTTCCACCAGTTTTTCTAGTTTTATATTTTTATTTTGAATCGGAATTGGAATGTTGTATTTGGGTCACTAGATTCTGTTTTGGTTCGACTTGTTTTGGGTCCTTTATGTAGGTTATGGTGAAAATAGTGAACGATTTTGTTTCTGTTATTTTTATTCAGAAATGAACTTTGTATAATTATTGGTTTTTTGAACATACGACGTTTTTGACGTTAAAAAGTGCCTTACTGGTCTAATTGAAATAAATGATTTTGACTTTGACTTTGACTTTGACTTTACGTGATTTACTTAAACATTGCACCTGCCATATTTATTTAGAAGAGTTGTCGTTGTCTATTTTTTTGTCTTTTTCGGGTCAGAGCTTTCACATCAAACCAATTAAAATAGTGGAGTTGGCAACTCCCCCTATTTTGTATGGGTATGAAAATTAAAAATCTAATTAGTCCGTCAGTTAAAAAACAAAAAATATTAGACACGTATTTTTTATTTTTCCGTAACAAGTTACAATACTAACATAATATAACATCACGCCTTTTATCCCAAAAGGGGTAAGCAGAGGTGCACATTACAATTAATATTACTGTACAATGTACCTACCATGTATACCTACTACATATGTACTCTCCATTATTTATTTTATGAGTCCCATGTAATAGGGGGTGAGCCTATTGCCATATAACCGGGCACAATTCCAGACTCCTTGTTACCACTGAGATTTTTTTTTTAAAAACTCAGTATTTCTTTGCCCGACCGACCGAATTGAAACCGAGACTCCTTGCCCAGTAGGCGCATTTGTGACTACTCAACCAACGAGGCAGTCGTACATTAAAATAAAATTTAATGATAGCAGGCGGACAATCCTTACTAATATTATAAATCTGAAAGTGAGTTTGTTTGTTTGTTTGTTTGTTCCACCTTCACGCCGTAACTACTAAACCGATTGCTTTGAAATTTTGCAGACGTAAAGTTAGAAGTCCAGATTAAATAATAGGGTACTTTTTATCCCGGAAAAATGTGATATTCCCGAGGGAAAACAAAAATATTAGTATAGATGGCGCTGTGTGTATTCCTGTAGATGGCGCTTTGTGCCATCTAAAACAATTCAACGAATTACCTACTAATTGGAAATTTCACGCTTTAATCTATAGCGCTTATTTGGTGTTAATCTACACTTATTCAGTGCGCTTTTCGACTCATTTATTTGCTATTTTTTATGTAAAAATACTTAAAAAACACAACGTGGTAACGTTGTGTAGTAGTTACGCTACTTGGCGATAGATGGCGCTGAGTGTTTATAAAACGGGGTAGCGTTGTGCTTTTAAAATTTAAAGTACTTTTATCGCTTTTAAATTTTGGTTCCTACCATTTTACATTGAATTGTGTATTTTATAGATTTTAGGTTGTTAAAGGTACATGAAATTGGTGTCTATGTAGTAGTTACGCTATTTTTTAAGTATTTTTCGCTTTTAAATTTTGGTTCTAACCATTTTACATTAAATTGCGTATTTTATAGATTTTAGGTTGTTAAAGGTACACAAAATTGGTGACTATGTAGTAGTTACGCTACTTGGCGATAGATGGCGCTGAGTGTTTATTATTATATATTCAACGGGGTAACGTTGTTTTTTAAGTATTTTTATCGGTTTTAAATTTTGATTCCTACCATTTTACATTGAATTGGGTATTTTATAGATTTTAGGTTGTTAAAGGTACACGAAATTGGTGTCTATGTGGTAGTTACGCTACTTGGCGATAGATGGTTCTGAGTGTTTATAAAACGGAATAGCGTTGTGTTTTTTAAATATTCTTCGCTTTTAAATTTTGGTTCCAACCATTTTACATTAAGTTGCGTATTTTATAGATTTTAGATTGTTAAAGGTACACGAAACCATAGTGGCAACAATACTCAACAATTAGCAAATATATTGTACGCTGTTGTTTCAATGCTCGATAGATGGCGTTAGGATCGAGTTAGATGGCGCTATGGTTTCGTTACCGGCGAAAGTATAGGTTCCGAGCTTCCGTATCATCTATATTTTAGGGTACGCATCTAGCGCTTATATTGATTATTAAATGTTCGCTTTGTAGGTTTGATTAGTTGAGTGTTATTTTTTCTGGGTAGATATTTAAAGTACTATAGTATTTTTTTTTCGTCGTTCTAAGACGCTTTGTTCATTGTTTACGTTGATTGATACAGTAGCTATATTAGTTAGGTTAGATTGGTGAAGTGGTTTATTTCTAAGTAGATGTCTAAAGTAGTTAGGTTTTCGATAATAAAACGTATAATATAGTTTACCACTTAGTTTTGGTTTAGCATTGCAAATATAACCCTTATAGGAAATAGAAGTCTTTTAAATTAAAATGGGAGGAGGTATTTGTGGTAATGCGAAAATAACTTCTTCTGTTCTTTCACGCGGCTGAATCGATTTTGGTATAAAGGTAGTTTGAGTCCTGGAAAAGCAAGGCTTTACCGCGGCAGAACTTCTCATTCCCACGGAAAAATCTAAAACGCGCGTTATAACCGAATTCCACGCAAGCGAACAGCTTTTTGTTTGTTTGCCTGTCTTAAACGGCAAAACGGAGGTACTTAACGTGATTTTTCAACTGAAGGTAGTTGAAGGGATGGGTAGTCACATAGGCTACGTTTTATCTTTTTGTGACGCGAGCGAAGCCGCGGGTAAAAGCTAGTAGTAAATAAAATTTAGAATAACGTAACCCTATTACGTTTAATAACTTAACTCTGTCCCTGTATTTGTTATAATGAACTTGACTGATAATAATAACAGTTCCTAGATAAACGTCAAACTAACTGCTAAAAGTCCAATACAATGACCTGCCTACTCCTCACGTAGGCTATACTTTGTTTGAGTAATAATAAACACATAATTATTTACTCTTTAAAGTAACACTTTCACCATTTTACCGTGGTAACCACATACACTTACATTGTTATTCTATCTAATTATCATTTTCTAACCATAACCTCTCTTTTTTACAGGTAGAGTACGCGAAAAACATCATGACGAGGCGAAAAAGTGTGTGTTCGAAGTGGACTTTAGTTTTATTAGTAGTTATAGTTTGTCCGTCTGTTTATTCGCGACCTCAAGATGAAGTTTCCCCTTCTACAACAATTACGGCACAGAATGAAAAATCAACGAATGCACCAATAAGGTATAAAAGTATTAATTTAAGTTCAAATAGTTTTAAGTTAGCGTCTAAAGTCATTAGTTTTGTTAATAGTACTGAATCAGATGAACGTCACCTTAACAATGTATCTAGTAATTTAAATAATTATAGCGAAGGCAACAAAATTAATCCAAATATCATTAAGTCTGCTCGAAACAGAACGAGTCGTCTAATAAGCACAGGTTCTGAAGAACGAAAAAAGAAATACAAACCAAAACCCGCCAATAGAGTCGAAGAAGAATCTCACGATAGAAAGAAACCAGCAATCAGGAAAGTTATAACTAAATGGAGAGACAAAACTAAACTAAACGACTTAAACTTTTCTTATGAAACTAGTACTTTAGACCCTGATGTTAAAGGTACAACCAAACTTATTAGTAATAGTCTAAAAGATGATACGAGCACAGAAAATTCTAGTGAAATGAACGCCAAACGATATACAAGGCCTCCCAATGATATGTATGATAATCCCTATTATGATGATAATAACAACAACATGATGTACAATAATAACCCAAGACCACAGTATCAATACCCGGATGAAACACATCACGTTGTGTATACCCCAAACATTCAAGTAATTAATACTCCACGCCCTCGTCCCACGAGACCTCCATATTATCACACAAACATTCCAACACCCACACCAATAATAACAAACTTAGGCTACCCAAAACCATGGACTCAACAGGTGACCCGTAAAACAACAACACAAAGGCCATATTACAATACACGACCAACAAATTACGAATACAATAATCATGTTCAAAATTATGGTGGAAATAATTATGAAGTGTCCACATTTGAACCAACTAATTCTTATACAGATAGAATTGTTATAAGACCAGAAGAATACAGTCCACATGCTGAAGATTGTCCCACTATTTACCTAACTTTAAATAATACCTTTCAAGGTCAGGCTAAAGAAGCTTGCCCTGACTTAAACATTGCAGTAAACACGAATGTTATTAATAAGAATGTTGTTATAGAATCAGAGGAGGAGAGCGATAGTTTGTTTCCCGGAGGCTTTGGTTTAGGTTTAGGTGACGATTCAGGTACCGATTCTTCGAAAGATGAAGATTATTTCGAGTCTGATGAGAACCAAGACGGTAATGCTGAGAGTGCTTCAGTTGAAGGAACAGAACTAGCAAATTATCACTCTGCAAATAGTGTCATCAAGCCAGAATCTTCTGAATCAAGCTTTGGAGCTGCTTCATCACCAAGTTCTGCTATTATTGCACCAGGTGGTGGAGGAGATTCTGATGATGACATATTTAGTTTTTCATCAGTAGTGGATTTCTTTCGACCAGCTTTAGATGCCTTAGGTTGGTTAGCAACTATCAATCCATTAAGCATAGGTTTGTTTCCATTAATTTTAGCGCCTTTAGGATTATTGTTTGCGGGCTCAGGTTTCGCTGCATTGTTTGCTCCATGGTTTTTACCGTACGCTAGGGAAGCCCCAAAAGTTATTCATGTTTATAAGCCTGAGTGGCGCTGGGATAATGATTTGAAAACTTGGCAATTACATTCGTTCCCAAATAATAGGAGATTGGTTCCTGATATGAGCGAAGCAAGAGAAAATAAGGGAAATGTGAAGATACGAGATAGTAAGACTTCATTATTTTCTAGAGTAAAAGAATGGATGAAGAATATAACAAATAGATTGAGAGAGAATCATAATCGCCAGATAGTTGCAAATGGTAGAAAAACTAAAAGAAAGAAAAGAGACGTTTGGACAAGGCGACTTAAAGTTACATAAAAACATGTGTACCATTTGTGGATAACTTTTTTATAAACAGTTTTAAATATAAATCAGAACATTATAATAAAAGGTGTAGTTTTGAAACCGTGACATTTCTCGGAGGCATGTCACAGAAGTCATAAAGGATCAACGTAAGAGCCAATAGTTAAAAATTATATTTTGAGTTTGTGTGTGTTAAGCCGCGTTATAAAACTAGTTACAAGACGGCGGCGTGTAGTTCGCACTTACGGATTTCCGTAATTTACAAAAAAATGAAAAATATTTACCTACAATATTTTTTTATTGATTCGGACTCACAATCGATAGCCAAGTTACCTCCTAGAAAATGACGCGGCTTTAAAACAACACCTCGTTTAATAATGAACACAGTAGGTTAACATTTGTTTAAGTTTTGCTACTCGTGACATTTTTTTCTAGTAAAAGAAAATTACTTTAGACAATTATGCATTGAGATATTCATAAATATTACCTATGTGTTTTGCCAGATATGTAATTCACAAACAAATAAAATTATACCATAGAAATCGTCAGACTTGTCCCATAAAAAATAATACACTAATATAATAAACTAATGAATTAGATATTGCCAAGGCAATTTTCATTAAATTGTTCATATCAAGGTTTACATTTTTAAGTATAAGTACCGACCATTTCATTTCATTTCATACTTGATTTCGGTTGCGAAAAAAAAGGTCTAAATTCGAGACACTGGTGTGAAATAAATAACGCGCACAAGACTCAAGACAAATAAAATGATAACCGACAATCAATAAACTTTAACTAATCGTTATTTAAATGTGCAATAAGTGTATTAATACATACGTGACATAACTAATGGCTTTAGATGTTATAAGATTAGATCCTAATATAGTATAGTACCTCAATAGGTACGTCACAAAATTATATCTAGGCTAATATTATTATCTTTAAAATAAATTGATACGTCATCGATAATGTTGAATCAATATTTAAATAAGTCATACTTAACCTCCTAGATGGCGCTGGTTATATACTTTGGACGACTAACAGTATTATTTTCTGTATTAAATTTTAGGACTATAACTTATTTTAGTAGGTATTTATTTATTTCATGTGTAATAATTTATTGATTTTATTAATTAAATTGCTTTCTGCTCAAATAGCTATAAGTTTAATATTAAGTTTCTAGTGGGTAATTCTAATCCCTTCCAAAACTAAGATTATGTTTCCATTATAATGTAATATTATTTCCTGAACATATTAACCAAATTCTTACTTTAATATTTATTAACATGTGTAAATATAACTTATTTTAAGTAATTTATGTCATAGGATTGTGTACAAAAACAGAAACAACAATTAAAGTAAATAAATTATTTATTTCATAATGTTCTCCAATAAAAATATGCATAGCGGAAATGTGTTGTATCTTTTATTTTAGTAATATTTATTTACATAAGAAAACCAAGATCAATGAAAAATCGGCATGGTATTGATTTACTTGTTTAGTTCTATATCCAAACAACAGATGGCGGTGTGCTGTGACGTCATTTTCTGAATCGCGGTGTTAAGATTCTCCGCGGTTTGGTTGGGTCAGCCAGAGTACACAGTACATTTAACTCTGGTTTCCCTTCAAAACGCATAAATCTTTCGCCTTTTACTAAAGATTTCCGTGGAGGGGAACACTCAAATGAGTCTATTATATTTATGAAAACTTCACTTCGGTGGAGTTTATAACACTTCAAAAATCTGTAATTACCTTTAGTAAACAACTGAGTTGCTCATCGTTGTCGTTCACTTGAATCGTTCAAATTAAACTTATAGTCCAGTACAATAACATTCTTCATTGAGTATGGGAGAGCTATGCTTCGGCACGAATGGGTCGGCCCAACCGGAGTGATACCACGGATTCACAGAACACCGACGTGAAACAACGCTTGCGTTGTATTTCGTCGTGTGAGTGAGGTTACCAGATGCGCAATTACCGCCCCGGCCGGAAAACGCCGGTAACGAACTTGTAATGCCTCTGGTGTTTCAGGTGTCTATGGGCGGCGCCGATTACCATCAGGTGATCCGTTCCATAAATAAATCATAAGAAAAACAATATATTTTGATCTACACCCTATTCTGCTACATGTTCAGGAGATGTCTTCAGTATTTATTTTTCGGTAATCTATTTTAATTAGGCCAAGAACGGTCGATGTAAAATCATATAAAATCGCTCGCTATGTAAACTTATATTTTCCATACAAAATATAATAAATAAAATCAATAATTTAATTAGCAGTACCTTTTGTAAACTTCCCTTAGGTAATGACTGCAAAATTAGAAAATAGTAAAAAAAAAATAGAATATTGTAACATCTTCCTCAAAGTCCGTCTCAAGACATTTCATTCGACTGGAGATCCAGTTTTTACCTTCGTGTGCATTGTTAGATTTGTATTCGTAACAAGAGGGGTGTAGATTGCATTGTTACAAGCTCAAACTCGGCACATTGATGGTATGGGCTAGTCTTTAAGAAATTGGCAGCTGTTTTTTTATTCTTAGTTCAAATTGTTATAAGCAGATGGCGGTGTGCTGTGACGTCATTTTCTGAATCGCGGTGTTAAGATTCTCCGCGGTTTGGTTGGGTCCACCAGAGTACGCAGTGAATGTAACTCTGGTTTCCCTTCAAAACGCATAAATCTTTCGCCTTTTACTAAAGATTTCCGTGGAGGGGAACACTCAAATGAGTCTATAATATTTTTGACTACTTCACTTCGGTGGAGTTTATAATACATAGAAAAATAGTAAACTGTAGTGTACTTATAGTAATTATAATTAATTGCCTATGTGATACCAATGGATTTGCAAATTGTGCCATAACAGTGTTCATATAAATTTGTTCGATCTCACACAAAGTTCTCAAGCGTATATTTATTTATTTTACATATGTAAGTGTAAAATAAATAAATAAAATATATTTATTTATGATTTGGATTGGAATGGAATGGAGAAAATTGAATGAAAAAATTTGAAATCGATGATGAAACTATTTAATTATTAATATATATTTACCTTACATTTATATTTACCCTACATTAGTCACCATTGTTATAAGGACATATATTTTGTTTATTTCTTAAATCTAAATTAAAATCTAGGTGTTCAACTGCTATGGGTCTTAACTAACTTAACTTATCAGTAGAGTATAATAATATGATCATTTATTATATTGATACACTTCTTAATTAATGTTGTTGTAAAACAATAATGTAGCAGTCTCAAATATGCAACGTTTCAGTGTAAAACTACACTTTATTGTCTTCCCTCGTAGGTTTTTATTTCACTAACGCAATTATTTTTTATCTTTTCAGGACACATCAGACTAATGCCGACGCAGCTCAGACTCGTCAGACAGCCACACCAATTCCTGAGAGCTCTTCCCGAGATGTCAAGACAAAGACACCAATTCGAGAATCCATGGAAATGGTCGCCATTCAACTTCTCGACAAACCCAATACTACAGCTGAGACCCCAGTTATAGCTGACACCAGAATACCACCCAAACTAAAGACACAAGTCAAACATAGAATAAAAACGAGAAATGAAAATGGCGAAGAATTCGAAAATGCTCACCCTGGCGTTGCAGTTCCTGTCACAATCGAAGAATTGGATACAGAGAACAAAATAAACGAGCCTAGTGAATCTTCGACGTCCAATGAAGGTATTTCCACTTGGATCTCATTGAGTAATTCAGCCAAGGACAACGTTACTACTGAGTCACCTAAAGTAGAAGAAATCACGAAGAAACCTAAGCCTACTGTTTCAAAGAACAAACCTAAACGTCCTCAGAATAATAAAATAGCTAAGCGTCCTATTATTGGCAGTACAAACAAAGCTGACTTGGTTGCCAGTGGATCAGCTATCAACGAGAATGTCTACAATAAAATCAAGGATACCGTGTTGTCTAATGTACAGAAAAATAAGAATACTTCAATTCGTCCGGCCACAACAACTACAACCACAACGACAACTACTACAACCACTACTGAAGCACCAACAACGAAAAAGGAAACTAAAATTCCTATTGTAACACCAGTAATAACAGTGACCTCAAAGCCCAAGAAGAAAAACAAGAACAAACAGAAAACTACCACTACCTTAGCACCTGCCGTTATCAGTGACTCCGCATTACTTCCTACAGAAGCTAAAGAACAAGAAATTGAATTAGAAGTAAGCACGCCAGCAGCTACGACGAAGAAACCTAAAAGAAGTTCAACTAGGAAGAAGAACAAGACTAAGAAACGCAAAACCTCGACATCAAAACCCAGTACTGAAGTCGCTATTTCCGACGTCAAAACATCAAACAAAACTAAATCAAATAAGAATGCTAAAAAACCGGCAGCAGCACCAACTGGAGCTATCACAACACAAATCTACAATTACTTGTCTAGAGAGGTAATGCCATCTGTGGGAGTAGGTATGTTGGGTCTGGCTAGTTTAGTTGGAATAGCTGGTTACTTCTTATATCCATTTGCAACTCCAGTACGCAGAACATTTGAAGTAGACAAGAATGATGACATTTACAGAAACAACGCTGAGGAATACGCAAATGATGGCAATGGACAAGCCGAAGAAGAAATGCTGGGAACTGTCTTAGCTGGAATGCCAGCCCACGCCAAACAAAAGTTGAACCCCTATGCTGGACAAACTGCATACACAAGTCGTTATCCAGTGAAAAAGGAACAAGACATTAGGTATAGACAAGTTGCCACTGGCTACAAACCTAACCCTAATTATGGTAAAGTACATTACGCTCAACAAAAAACAGGAATAGCTCATGCTGCGGTATACTCAAAGCCACTTAGTTATAGTCCTCATTATGAAACTAGACACTCGTATACAACAGAGGGAAAATATAATTATGAGAAACCACAGCAACCAAACTATACTCCATACCCAGCCGTAGAACCTATATATGCTGCACCACAAACTGGCCCCACAGGCGTTTCAGCTTATGGGAATGAAAATTCCAACTCAGTTGTCTACGGTGTAAAACCAGGAGCTGAATCTGATTTCAAACCTGTCTACCCATTCGAAGGTCAGTTTTTCAGCGAAACTACTAGTAGTTCAGTGACTTATCCTCCAACTTCTATGTACTTAGGATCTAATAACGATGCAGAAAATCCGGAAGAAAAATATGACGACAATACAAGTGGCAGTGAAACTAATTCTGAATCATCTAACGAGAACAAATTCGTAGTTGGAAATGTTCCTAAGGAACTAGTAGACTCAGCTACACCTGCAGTTGTACCAGAACATGGTCCTAGAAATCTAAGAAAAAAACGTAGTATTTCAGGTTCACTGGAAGAGCTGTTAGCAGAGAAAGGGAACAGAGACGTCTTCATTAGTAATGAGATTGATGACATTTACAATATTAATAACCCTGTCCGAAACCTTGCTGCTAATGATGTAGATGACACCACAGTCTTTCCTAAAGATGTCACCGAAGTTTTTGCTGTATCAGACTCCGAAAAAGACAGTAAACTAAATGAAGCTACTACTGATAAGATCGAGATTGTTGAGAGTGTGTCAACTATTCCAGTGAATAGTAAAAATGACAAAACAACAGAGCCAGATATGCCTAATGAAATGGAAACCACAACCAAAACGTTTAAAGTATATGAAGTATTTCCATCAAGCAATACTGAAGTAACTGAACGCAACAGTCCTATAAACTCACCTACAACAACTGTCCAAAGCATGATGACTGAGACCACAACAGATTTGAAATCTGAAACAACATCAACTATGCCCACAGTTCCAGTTTCAACTGACAAGCCAGCGACTACTTCAAGACCGTGGAATGACCCAGAAATTGTTACTTATCCACCTTTAAACCAACAAGGTGGATTTTTAAATTTCCTACAAAGATTAGTAGATTTTAAGTTCAGACTTGGTCTTGGCATATTACAGACAACAGTAGATGCTTTAAATAGATTTAGGGACGATACTATGCAAAAAGTAACAAACGCTTCTCGTACTCACAATGGGTAGTATAATAAGTCTAGGATTGTGCACCGTTGATGAGATTTAATATCAATGTAATTTTTTTGTCATTCGAAGTGATTTTTGATATTTTTATAGCAGTTATTTTGAATGGTAGAAAAATGGTTTATGCAATTAGTTATGTATAGTAAATATAAGTTTAAAAAAATGTGTACTTATATTTTTACAATTCGTATCAATGCTAAGTTTTAGACTGATAAATACTCATTTATTTGTATGTAAAAATACAAACGTAGGGTTCGTTTACTCGTTCATTCAACTGAAAACATTTTCTATATTGCATTTATTTATGAAAAAAATCAAAACACTTATTTAAGGTTACTTATTTTTAAGATAAAGTATAAGTACAGGGAATTATATAATATAATATTCTGATTATTTTCTATATAATATAAACCTATATAAGATTATAATTTCAGAATGCTATCCTCGATATATTTGAGGGAAGCCTACTGGAATTATATTGTGATAAAAGATATAAATAGTATTTTTATTAGGCGTTAAAATATGAAATAATTATTTTATAGCCGGATAAGATTTTATTATTTTCGTCCGAAATATATTATACAGTATTATCGATTTTCTCAGGTTAAAAAAGGTTTTCGACCTATTTTATAAGATTAAAAATATATAAAATGAAATTAAAATATATTTTAGGCAATTGTAGCAGTAATTGTTTATTTTTTATTATTTTATAAAAATAATTCTTCTGTGTAAATATTGAAATAAAGACTTTTTAATCATTGTTTTTGTTTTATTAATATTTTGTATGAATTACATAAATACTTAAAAGATTACGGACAGAATCAATTCGCGTACTGCTGCATGTAAACTGTAATAATCTTCGGTCAAGACACTTGTATAATTAGGCATCAAACTTCACAATAAAATGAGAAAAGTCACAATAATTTATTCCCACAAGTAAAAGTATGAGTAGAAGCCATATTACGCCATCTATACTCACACGGTAGTACTAACTTTAGTTTGACTCTTACACACTGTTTTGTTGCTTCATATATGACGTCCTAGATGGCGCTAACACACATTTGCATATATTAACAGAACCAGTTATATTATAAATTGAATCCCATGTAATAGAGAGTCGTAAACCTATATGTATATATCGGTGACCATACCAGGCACCATGACTCCATGTTATTACTGAGATATTTAACGAAAACCGATTCGAACTTGTGAACAATTGCGACTAGACGACTAATCGTGTAGCAGTCTGCTATTGTACAAGTTTAGTTAGTACCTATGTATAAAATGTATTCTGGTTTACACGATTAACTTTGTGGTTTCTCACAATAATTTGTGGTTTCATTAATTCACCACAGAAATGATTATAATTAGTGCCTAACAATTAATTAGTTGCTACGTACATACCTATTTTCTTTATCACAGCTACTTAGGTATCGTGCAGATATCTAATAATTGGAAGTCAATTGATGGCAGTCCAAGCCCGACTATTATGCTCAATTCCATAATCAAATTCGAGATCCTTTGTTTACAATATCGTTTGCGACTAAGTACTTGATTAATAAAATAGACGAATTCAAAAGTTGTACGTAATGTAAAAAGTAACCATAATACCTCTACATTATACTACACCTACATATTATATTGTATAACAAGTTTTAGTTTTCAAACAAATACAAATACAAAGTTTGAAGGATACCCAAATATCTCCACAACAGCCAATCCCTTAGGAGAAAACAAGAATTCCGAAGACTTTCCAAAAAACCCTAAAACTGTCACAAGGGAAGAAAATGTCACAAACCACGTTTAATATGACCGTAAAACAAATTGATAATAAAAAACAACTTAAACTGTTAACCCTTTAACAGTTAAATAATAAAACTGCGGTCACTAGCAGTGTTAACTAAAAGGGTTCAACGTTTAGTATCATGACTTCGTTTATGGTTTTATTATAGTTTACAGTTTATTATATAGGTAATTGAGACGTTAAATGTTATTAGGTATGAAGTAAAGGTAAGGTTTTACTTAGGGTAAAATTATGTCGATGTGTTTTACGACTGCTTCATTTGTCCAGAGCGGTCGCAAACGCGGTTTCCGATCAGTACCTTTAGCTAAACGCCACTTTAGCGCTTGTCTACAGAGAGAGTAGAAAACTAAATGTATGGGGATGACACTGACAAGTGTCAAAATTTACGTCAAATCTATATAATTTGGTTTTCTATTCTACATGTATAGACAAGCGCTTAGTGGCATTTGGTTAAAGCTGCAGTCCGGAAAAGAATATTTTGAGTTCTTTTTAAAGAAAGAAGAAAGAAAGAAAAACATTTAGTTGGCAATTTGGCAAGCACACAAAACAAAGATAATAAAAAAACTAAAAATACAGATACATAAACAAAATACTAGTAATAAACTTAAAAGATCAGAACAAAAAACATCACAGTGTAACAAAATAATAATACGATAGGTAATAATAGAATTTTGAATGTACAAAAAACATCAAATAAACAAAATAATAATATTAATTTGCGCATGTTCATACCAAAAGGGCCTCCACCTCAGCATGTAGTTGAGCGTTCCTGTTTTTCTATTTTTCGTTTTTTTTTCTCTCTTAAAGTAAAGAGTCTACACCTGCAGTATAATTATGGTATTGTAGTCAGATCATCTGTTATCACTTATCACATAGGACTAACTCTAAAATTTTTTGTTATTACAATTTTTAATAGTTTTTATTTTCGTGTTGTAGTGTAGACCATCAACTTTGACCTAGTTATAATCAACTTAATTATTATTACGTAAAAAAAACATTTAACTAATTCCTGATTTTTTTAAAAAGTCTGATTGTTTTTTACCATTACCTGTCTCTGTTAGGGTTTCTTTACACCCTGTATAAATAGGACAAAGTGGGTGTTACGTAACATCATTCAAGTGTGGGAGAGCCATGCTTCGGCACGAATGGGCCGGGTCAACCGGAGTGATACCACGGTGTCACAGAAAACCGACGACGTGAAGGAAAGCTTGCGTTGTGTTTCGTCGTGTGAGTGAGGGTACCGGAGGCCCAATTACCCTCCCCTTCCCCAATCTCCCCAATCCCCGAATCCCCAACGATCCTCAAACTCCCAATCCCCAAAAGGCCGGTAACGCACTTGTAACGCCTCTGGTGTTCCAGGTGTCCATGGGCGACGCCGATTGCTTACCATCAGATGATCCGTCTGCTCGTTTACCGGCTTATACCATAAAAAAATATCAAAAAAGAACACTCTATTTGTTAAAAGCAACATATTTTTTGACACTATTAAACGATTTTTCAACATAATTATTTAAGATAAAAATATACCATTCATATGTGTATGTTTGCATGAAATTTCGGGTAAACGTATGATTTACAAAAAATGTTGTGTCAGTGTCCTAAGCTATATTAATGCGACCCTTGTGGTCAGATTAACACGTCGGTCGCCGCGTGCGGTCATTATGACCTACGCATGACTTTAACATACCCCTTAATCGCATTCTTTGCCATTGCGTTGGTGTTTACGGGTTAATATGGCGTCGTGTAAAGAAAAAATGGTGGAGTTTTTTAGTCTGTGGTTTCTTTTGTAGATAATTCGCGTTTTGAATGTCAAAAGGTAAAAGTCCGAGTTTGATCACATTATCAGATTTTGTGAGGGTGTACGACATACACTACTACTGTTTTAAACATTTACATTAACTGTGCGCTTATGGAAATCTTTACTTTTTTTAACATAGTGATCTTAACGACTGAAATTTTTGGTCAGGAAATAAATTAACGCTCGCGGTGATATCGCGCAGCCTACTGAGTCAGTAGGCTGTTCATGAGGAAGACCGCGAACGCTGCTCATAAGGAAGAAACCTTCTGTGGTTGGAAACTAGTAGGTAGAGCTTTTCTCAGTATATTCACTTGAGTAACCCGCGATTTTTAGTTAATTTGGTAATAGTTTTACACGTTTTTACCCACGTCAGTTGAATAGAGTCGTGGTGGTCCAGGTGATGGAGGTTTAAGACGCCCGCGTCTCATGCATAGGATGCGGTTTCGAAACCTACCTACAGCAAGTACCAATGTGACTTTTTCAGAGTTATATGTACTTTCTTAGATTATTTAGACACCACTGACAAACGGTGAAGGAAGGAAAACATTATGAGGAAGCCTAAGCTTATAATTTCATTGAGCAAGCGTGGCGATTAATGCTCAAACCCTCTCCGTTAGTCAGCAAAAGCCACTTAAAGACCATTGATGTTGATGATTTTGACTCACGTCAGTAAGTAGCATTATGAGTTATTCCACAAAAATGTGGCAAGGGGTCTCGGGTTCGATTCCCGGGTCGGGCAAAGTAAGTTAAGTTACTAGATTTTTAAAAAAAATCTCAGTAGTAGCACGGAGTCTGGAAATGTGCCCGGTATATGGCAATAGGCTCACCGCCTATTACATGGGACTCATAAGATAAATAGTATAAGTGGGTGTTACATTGTATAGTGGCATAATGCATACCTCAGCCTACCGCTTCGGGGATAAAAGGCGTGATGTTGTTTCCACAAAAATCTTTGATACGTTTGTCTTTTCCAGGAATTCGGTCCTCAAAGTGCTGCGACTTAGTGTAATTACGAAATTGGTTTCCTTGTACTTGGATTTATAAAGAAAACCTGTATTTTAATATTCCTTCTTGCTTTAGGCAAGTCATGGAGTTCTGAGTACACAGTTTTCTTATAATTTTAGTGTATTTTTTCTCCTACCGTGATAAACTTCATTCAGGGTTGATATTGTGGCGACACAAGGAGACTACCTGTTGGGATATATGCTGCGGACTCAATTTTCTATGAAAAAACTATGTTTTTGTGTTTGTTTGAGGAAATTTTATTATGAAGTTAGTAATTAAAATAATATTACACTACACCATGAAATTTATTTCGTTTCCGTCCCGTGGTTAAACAACCTACCATAAGATGTAGGTACATTTTTATGTATAAAGTAAAAACATAAAAATAAAGATTTCAATGTTTTTAATATGGAATATCCATCGATCTACGCACATGAGATACTAGATGTAAATTTGTGGGAACTATTTGCATCGCATTGCGCCACCTGACGAGTAATGCTACTTATGTGCTACTTCGAGAATTAAATGGCGTGATGTTTTGATAATGTACTATGAGTTCGTATGCGGTTATGAAGTTTGCTTTTCTCTATGGTTCACCAGTTAATTTTTGTTTTAAATATTTTATTTCTTTGTAAAACCATTTCATTACCAAGACGGAACCATTTTACTTCGAGACATACACGATATAAATTTTACGATGTATACTGTATAGTCTAGAGAAAGATTCCTGTGTCCAACCACACAGGTGAAAATAAAATGACTAGAAATATGACTAAATGGAACTACGAAATAAATAAAACTTTCTCCTATCATTAAACT